AACTACTCCACTATCCATAACCAAACAAGAAAGCTAAGAAACTTTTAAGACTTAGTTGACTCTAGCACTTTTCATGCTCCAAGCGCTTAGATTGTCCACAGTGATGAGCTCTGATCCATTATTGAACACATGCAAATGGGCATTCCCAAACACTGCCTTTGTTGGATATACCCTTGAAGTTATGCATGCTTTTCCACCCCCTCCAAAGCTCTCCACCATTGAGTGATCAATCTAACACAAATAACAACACCACCATTATATTGGATGTCAATAATTAATTATGACTAGTGCAGATCTAGAATATGAATCTGATTTCAACGTACCAAAGTCCTCAACGCGAGCTTTTTACTCGACAAGTCGATGTCGACGAAGCCTGCAAATGATGGTTTGTACAATCCCTTCGTCCGCAGAGAAGAGCTGTATCGAAAGAGAGAGAAATAAGGTCTCGTTTGATGACAATTTTGAGGAAGCTAAGGAGGGATACCTTGTTGCATCAGAGCAGAGAAGAACCACGTGCTTGTTGTGATGGGCCTTGAAGATCCTGAAGAATACAGGAGTGAATTCGTCGAGGTGCTTCGAAGCGAGAGTAAGAAGCCCAAAGGGCCCAACTCCACCTTGGGCCGTGGAGCCCAGTCGACCACACACGGATTGTGCATCCACCCACCTTGGATCAAATGGCTCCGCTTTATCCAAGCTTGAAAAGCTGAACGTAACTTCAACGTCAGCCTACACAAATAACAAACACCAAATCAATGCTTAAGCCCATTCTTCAAACTACTTTCTACTTTGGGCAATTGGCATAACTAACACTTATAATTGACACCAATTTTAAATCTTCTTATTTCTATTTAGATTTTATTTTTATAATTGGGGTTTCGTAGATTTTCTCTCCTATACCCACAAGCACCTTTCCCAAGTTGACCCAAGAGACATCAAGGAATTTTACTATTAACCTCGCTAGTAAATTTGAACCTGAGACTTCTAAATTAGTATCACCAAGAGGCCTCGAGTCCTGCACAACTCGACTGACCCTATTATCATTACTACGGACCTGGGCAGCAGAAATCCCGTGGATCTCGACATGCTGTCCCTTGGCGAGCTTCCGATTGGTCATCTCAACTTTCATGCCTCTCAGCCTGTTCACCTCTTCAACCGGCCATTGCAAAAGCTGCTTCCTGTTTGGATCCAACCACACCGTCCTGGGAATTGCCTGCACCATAAAAACCGGGCCATTCATTCATTCATCCGGCCCAAACAGAAACAACAAACCAGGCACAAAAACAACAAGCCCAGCCCAACAGACCTGAATTCCGGCCCATCCTTTAGCCACGTCATCCCGGGCCGTATCGGACTCATTGGCCCACCCCCACAGAACCCTCCTCTTCTTGCCAGCGTCATAGAACGTCTTGGAAGCATAGTAATTGCCGTAATCGTAGCGCAGGCCGAGCCAGCCGTCCGGCGACGTGTTGTCCGGCACGTACCGGTCCTTGTTCTCCAAATACTTCCCCACCGTGTAATAATCGTAGCGCGTGAGATCCAAGCTCACCTTCAGCACGTGCTTCACGCCGCCCCCGCTCACCGACGTGTCCAGCCCGCGCTTCCCGGTCAGCGGCACCGGGTAGAAATCCGGGCATTCCCACATGCCCGTGTTCGCCACGGAGTGCAGCGGGTGCTTCGCCCTCGTCCACTTCACGAAATCCCTACTCCTGTACAGATACGCCATCCCCCGGCTCCCCCGCCGGCTGCCGATCACCGTCCTCCAGTGGCCGGACTTCCCCCGCCAGCCGGTCGTCGGGTCGCGGAAGGCGCTGGCGTTGACTCCGGAGTCCGGGTCGACGACCGGGTTGAAGTCGGGTTTGACCCAGTCGCGGAGGTAGGGGTCGGAGAGGTTGGCCGGAACGGCGTAGTTTTGGACCTGGCGGTTGTGGGGGTCGATTCCGGTGTACATGATGACGGGCCTGCCGCCGGGGAGGATGGTGGCGGAGCCGGACCAGCAGCCATTGATGTCGAAGGGCTTCGAAGGGGAGAGCGCGTGGGGAAGCGCTTTCCAGTTTATTAGGTCTCTGGAGAACGAGTGGGCCCACACTATGTTGCCCCACACCGCGCCCTTCGGGTTGTACTGGTAGAACAGGTGGTAAATTCCTTTAAAGTACATTGGGCCTGTTTTGCAATTTTCAAAAATACCCTTGGGGTGAAAACGGTAAATTCACCTCAACACAACAATAGAAAATTGAAGAAATTGATTGACTTACCATTTGGGTCTGGATTTGGTTGTGTTTGTGGACAGGATCAAGGCACCAAAAAAGGGGAACAAATTAGTAATGAATATTTGTTAGGAAAACAAACATAAAATTGAACCAACATTTCATTTCCCTACTCTACTTGATTCTATGTAAGATTCTCCTCCACCTATGCACTCGAAATTTAAAATAATAAAAAAAAATGTTTCTTTTGGGAATCTTTAGCTCTAATGGTAGGTCCCATTGCAACTCAAGAGTTTAATAAGTTAGGTTAAGTATAAAATTTACTTCATAAATTTTTCAAAAGGAACTTATTAGAGACAGCCTAAAAATTAAAAAAACGTAATTTTAACATATCTTTAGAAAGATAGAGATGGCCACTACAAAAGGCATTAGTTTTTATATTTAGAATCCCACATGGTCCCAAGACACAAAAATGGGGTTCTGGTAAAATTCTCCAACATTAACATAACAAAACCATAAATTTTGGGGGCAGAATTTTTCAGTGCAAGACCCACCCACCAAAACTTTTCCTACAAAAAGGATGAAGAGAAAATAAATCTCCACTTTCTCATGAATGACACAACCAAAGTTTGGACTTATTATAATACAAACAGAGAAAAAGTTCAAAAATCTAACTCCTAGCATGTATTACAGATTCCCAACCACTTAATATATCATGTCTGCAATGCACTTTTTTATACTATTTTATTTTCGATACTTTTAAGAAAAAAAAAAAACTGAACAAATAAAGATTCCCATTTCCCACTCAAATATTAAAAAATCTTTAATTTATTCCATTCTAAGACCTTATAAAATTCAAAGAATATAATATTATAACAACAGGATGGACAGGAGTAAATTAAATTCATTTACTACATGCTCTTTATCATTCCACCACCCATATATATGAATTATATACTTTTAGAACATAAATTCACGCACGTTAAATTTGTGCTTCTATGTTTTGTAATTTTCTCATAATTTTGATATGGCATCAACAAACAAGAAAACAAAAAAAATAAAGGACACAGTAGGATTTGGCAGGGAATTTAACTATATATTAAGCATATGAGCAATGGGCCACTAAAATTGACACAAAAATTCACATCAAAAGTAGAGGCCACAACTTTTTATAAGGCTGCGGCATATTATATGATGGGAAAAGCTTGTTCCCATAATATTCCCCACTCTTTCAATGACAAATAGTAGGTAGGTCCAATAAAGGAACACACAATTTAAAATAGGGGAAATTACAAAAATCACTCCTAAACTATAAGAATTCAATCTTTCAAAATACACCAACTACCTTAAATTATACAAATTGTTACAATGGTATAGAACTAATACAATTTAACCTTTTTTTTTTAATTCTATGAAATTCATAAACTATTGTAAAAGTAACAATAGAATTTTATGGGTGATTTACCGGGACAAAGAAAAAAAAACACAAAACAAAATAAAAAGAGAGATAATTCTAAAAATAAAGTGCTCACGTGTGTAACCCATATATGATATCACCATGGCAAATATCATTTTTTTTTTATGAGGTTGATTTGTATACAATATCATATCATTCTAAAATCAGCAAATCGGTTAGGGGTTGAGTGTGACATGATGTGATGTAAACATAATAATAATTTAAATTTAATCTCTTATCATTTAAAAAAAAATTCCTATCTCTTATAGTTTTAAAATAATAACTTTAAAACACTTTTCCTATAGAATATGTTTGAAAGTGCTTTGGGAAAAAGGAATTTTTAAATAAAACAATTGTTTAACACATATTTGCCTCTCGAGAGTTAGGATCAATGCTTCCAAACTTGTGTGAGGCGGCTCAAGGATTACGTCTATGCCAAATAGAAAGACTTGGGCCTTTGGTGATAGAGGTGGAATTTGGCAGTTCTCGGAACCAACAAAAAGGCAATAAAAAATCATTTTGTTTTTTAAGCTCGAAATCTTCTTAATTTATCATCATAAAAGCAACCAAAAAAATAAAATATTTTTCTTCCACAAGAAAAAAACTGCCAAGCGGCCAAAAAGATTTCGAATAAGGCTAAAACATAATATTGGTTTGTGAATTTTTTAGAGTATAATAATTAGGAGAGGGAGATTCAAACTCATAAATGTAGTATCTTATGAATTTAAATCTAAAAAAAAAATAAATAAAGCTAAATGTTTGATAAGTGGAGTTTGTTTATATAAGATATAATGGATTGATGGATTACATACACTCCCAAATACACCAATATTATCTTCATAAATAAATAAATAGACAAATAATATTATCAAAAAAGAAAACAAATAAGTTGAGTTTTATTCACATTAATTCCAACCTCATAAAAAAAAAAGTAAGAAACAAATAAGCTGTTCAGAAACCTATTTGTTTTTCTTTTAAACAAAATGTTTAAAATGCTATCGAACGGTCCTGAAAAAAACCCAGCAACCTGATCGGACGGTTGGAGTGGTAGACCCTCCAAAAGCAAAAGCAAACCGATCAAAGGACCAGAGAGTAAAATTAAAAAATATATATATTATCTCCGATACACAAAACGTGAGATAATGGAATCTGCGTCAATCAAATCACGATGGATTTTTCCATAATTTCTCTTCCGAGGAAAAAAATCATGATAGTTCATGATGGTAGAAAAACAGAAAAACGATCCAAAATCGAAATCGAAATCAAAACACGCATTCCGAGTCCAGATTGGGGGAAAATTTTCCGTTTGTTTCCCGAGAAAATGAAGAGAGAAATAAGGGGATGGTAAAGGTACCGTTGATCCAGTGACGGCGAGGCTGGAAGTGGAAGCGAGTTCGATGGAGCGGCCTGATGAACGACGTGTCGACTCGGAGAGACTGTAATTCAGGGTAGATTTCGTGGCGAGATTGGGCGACGCCATTGTTGAGAAGGAAAGAAAGAGAGGAGAATACGAGAAGAAGGGAGAGGAATCTGAGAAAATTCATTGATGAAAAAAAGACCTAATTAAAGCCAAAATGAAGACTTACGATTTGAAAGTCTATTGAGGAGTTTGATGGTTATTTATAGAGAGAGAAAAGAGAGGATAAGTTTTTTTTTTCTTTTTTTTCTTTTTTCCTTTTTCTTCTTTTGTTAAGGATAAATTTGTTAATGTAATCTGGCACTGCTGGATATAAGCAACCACCAGATCTTTTATTCCAATTATTTCGTTCTTTTTAATAACAAGAGTTAGGATGGAGGTTTGAAATCTACATATCTGAGATGAAATGTATTAAGTAACTGGCAAACTCGATTGGGCCGGACCAACCTTATTCAATCGAGTCGAGTTGATTCACCCAACCCAATTTGAGGAGATTCTTTAGAAGGGGCTACTTTCCAATGATAGTTGGATTTCGAGTATATATATTAATTTTTTAAGTACATTTCGAGTATATTTTTAATTTATTTTTAAAAAATTAGTTGTTTAAAATTAATAGCTAATTTTTTTTAGTATAATAGGTTGGAGACGGAGATTCGAACTCACATCTTTTTAGTTGGACGTATATGACTGAACTATGCTCGCTTAGGCTAATTATCAAATATATTGTTGTTTTSACTTCCTCGATAAATTTTTGGTCGGAGACATCTAGCACTATATATTGGAAACAAAACTTAAATATGGTTACCAAATATACTTTTATATTTGTTTATTTTATTTGGTTTATAAAAGTTTTGCTGGCTTAAATATGACTATTTATTGTTTTTTTTTTGTCTTTTATGGAAAAAATATTAAAACATATTTGATCATTATTTTTTGTTCTTTGATATGCTTGAGAATTTTTTTATCTCTTAAATTTTGAATTAGAAAATTTGAGTTTTTAAAATAATTATTTAAAAAATAGTTTATTGAAAAGTATTATGATATACATGTTTTTTTATATGTATTTTATAAGTCAAAAATAAAATGTTTTTATTTATATTTTAAAATTTTGAAAATGCAAAACAAATAGCAACACGAGTTTTTTTTTTTTTTAAATGTGAACATCTCTTAAAAATGAAATTATAAAATAAAGAATTGTTATCGAATAAATGTACTTTTTTAATTAAATTGAGAACAAAAAAACAGCAAACAATAATCTATTATACCAAAATAATCCTTAAATTTTCAATTTTAGTCCGATTAATTCTGGGATGAATACTGAAAGAGTTTACTGAATGCACATCGAACTTAAACAGCTCAACTAGGTGGAAAAAATGAAAAAAGAAATAGTTAGTGAGCAAAAAGAAAATACATGAAGACCAAATCTATTGTTTCAAATACGGAAATATCGCGGTAGGTGGTGGCGTAGTAGGCTTATATGGTCGAATGGGATATCCTTCCCCAAGTCCTACACGACCCACACAGTATTGATTAAGATGGACTTCAATGAACGATAGTGGATTACAATATCACATGTATACGATGAACTGCAACATTTATTATAAAAGATATTTTAGAGGGTCAAAGTTTTAACCCAACAGATCCTACATATATTTTACCAATATTTTTGGTCGAAGACGCATACCAAGCCTATCTTGGTGTTTAAGATTTTTTTAGTTATTATTATTTTTATAGAATTCTCAAATCCTAGTAAGAGATTCTCTTTTAACTTTTACTTTTTTTTTTAAGGTGATTCTCTCAACTTGTCCTAATTTACCATTCATCTCCTCCCATCTCCTGCTGCACCCCTTCTTCCAGACATCCTGATTTTTTTTTCTTTTTTCTTTTTTGCCCCATATGAATTTTTTACATGATATTTAATTTTTAATTAAAAGAGAATTCTTAAATTTTTTAATAAAGTTTTTTTTAGTACCGCAAATATGTGGATAGGAGATCTAACGTTTGATCTCAGGAGAAGGAGTATAGTACTTTAACCGCTGAGTTAAATTCTTAATTCCGTTAAATGTTCTGATATGAAAAATCAAATGTGTCACAGAATTTCTACAAATTTGGAAGATAACTATGGGAGTTTGAGGTTAAAAAAAAGGTTCAAATATTTTTATTCTAGACCTTAAATAGTTTTACAAAGTTTGAAGAGACTGAGGGCATTTTAGGTTAAAATATATATATATATATATGAGTTCACATATTTTTATTTTAGACCTTAAATTTTATTTTTAAAAATTATTTTTTTCTTCGTTGTTACCTTTTTTAAATAATCATATAACAAAAACTTAATATTGAGGCATATATCTACCCTACATGTATGGTTTACTAGGTCAAACCAATTTTTGAAGCTTCTTCATATACTAGGTTAGATGTCTGATTTCCAGATGATTTCAATTTTTTTTTTGAATAATTAATGGAAACATAAACTTAAATAATTTAAAAGTTACAAATTTAGTCGTTGAAATTTTTTATGTTTCCTAGACTTTGAATCGTAATTCTATACCGTTAGGATCATTCACACCATAAATTAAATAAGGTTGTGGTACTACATTTTAAAAAACATTTGTTGATTTGACACAAAAAAGAAAGTAATAAAATAAAAAAGTGGATAGGTGGACACGATTAAGAGATATATTATTATATTTCATGGACTCCATATTGTTTTTAGATGTATCAGAGTTTCATACGGTTGATGCTAAATTTTGTCTAGTTTGAAAAGTTCAAATTCCTCTTACGAACTATGCAGAGCGAGCTATATGAAGAAAGACATGCACACAAAGAATAAAACTCTAAAACACAAGTTAGTTAAGGGTTCGAACTGCAGAAGTTGGATTGAGACACAATTGTGTAACTAAGAACGAGGAATGAATGTCCAATAATAGGTGGATGAAGGGGATCATTCTGTTGTGGCCGTTCCAAAGAGTGGTTACACAGTTACAGACGGTTACACGCAATAGCTAGGAGATAGGCTTATTAAGACAATCAGTGACCTCCCAAACACTGTAGGTTGGCCCTGAAAATGCACTAATGTCCAATCAGCGTAGGATAAGTCAAGCAGTTCATACCCTCCATATTGATCAACAGGATAGACTTTATTTTGCCTTCGAACACATACCATTGTAGTAGTATAAATTTTCTCACGACAACCAAAACACCACTTTCACATCTCCAACCACCCAAAACTCATTCTCATGCACGCCGAACAAAGGCGTTATCCCATTTCCAATCATCTCATTCCCAAGCATCGTATTTCTATTTCTCGTCACCAAATGCCCGATCTCTAGTTACCCAACTGAATGAATACTTGACAATTGGCATTCTTACAAGCACCCCAAAAAGCCATAGGCAAAGGCAAAGTCAAAATGGCATATAATGATGATGACAAGGCTCAGCATCACCATCAACTTCTCCACCATTAGAAGTTAGGATGGTACACAGTTTCTCAAAAAAAGAGCAACAAGAAAAGTGAAAAAAGCAGGCAATTGGGCAAAAAAGAGTTGTGGGTTTTGGGCAACCAATGAGCCACTGACATTCCTTCTTTTCAAGTTGGCTTTGTGGCCATTGTGCTAAAACCTCTTGGGAAAACAAATGTGGCACACCACAACTTTGCTTTACTTCTGCCACAAAATAAAGTCACCTAATCAACACCACTCTGATTGACTAATCCCCCCATTATTCGAAATCTACCAACCATATCGTGGCTCTCATACGGCTCCTCGTTCAATGCTTTCGAAGTCATTAGATCCTTTTTCTCGTTCAAAAATCTCCTCCGATCCCTTCTTCCATTCCGTCCTGAAGAGTGATCGAGACCAATTCAGTCACGTTTCCATTCATATGAAATTTGAACTCTTCTACGTCATTTTAATTTACTTATTTTTTCGTCTTTCGCTAAACTCTTAGATGCACGAAATTATAGTGTATGTTTGGCGATGCCCTCATTTCTTCTTTCTCATTTTTTATTTTCAAAATTTTGAGAAATTCAAGTGTTTGTCTGTGTCGAGAAACGGTTGGAAACAGCAAAATCCAGTTTTTTTTATTTCTTATTTATGTTTCCAAAATTTTTCAAAACATAGATGATTATTAAAATATTATTTTACCAGTTTGTGCTTATAATTACAATAACAAATATCAAAAAAAATTAATATAACATAAAAGTTTTGAATATTGATTTGAAGATTAATTTTTATATAAAATTTTTACTTTTTTTTTTGAGAACAGAAAAAATGTTCACTCAACATATTTCTATTTCTTATTCAATAAAAAAAACAACAAGAAAGAGGAAATAGTTATGGAACATAATTTTGTTTTTCTTGATTGAAAAAGATAAAACTAGAAAAAAAAAAAATAGAATCGTTGCGAAACGGAGTCTATAATATTTTTAGTTTCTCTACTAGTTGATTGTAACATCTCTCTGATGGATTCAAAATTCAAATTTAATTTATAACTTATATTTGAATCGTAATACTTAAAAATAAAAAATCACATCAATCTGTCTTTGACATGCCTTTTGAATCAGGAAAAAAATTTCCATAACTAACTGGAAGTTATTTTTTCAAAATTTTCATGAAGTTATAAATTAATTTTGAAAATTCTAAAAATACCTAAAAGTACTTTGAGAAAAAGCACACACTTAACCTTTGTTTTTCAAAAAAAGTGCTTCACTAAAATGTATCAAATCACAACTTCCTTTAGAATTATAACAAATAATTTTTTTTAAAACAATTTTTTGTTTTTCAATTATATGTAAAAATAGAATAAAGTAGAGCCATTTTGGGCTATTTTTCTTCATTATGATTAAAAAWTTTTGTAATGTGTCTCATTCAGATATCTACCACACACCACACCAATTGGACTTTCTTTGTTGGATTGTCATTATAAGATATATTTGTATATTATATTAGTAATTAAATTACCATTTTTGTCAAGAATGAATAAACAATAAAGTGGATCCTTAGTTTTCTTTTAGGAAGTGTTATTTTTTTCCCTCTTCTTAGTGTATGAAGGAAATTAATATAATTTGAAGTTTTGCTTTTGGAGTTGTTTGCTTAGAAGGGATACATTTTAAAAAAAAAAAAAAATAGATCTTAAATGGTATATATTAAATTTGCATCATTATTCTAATACATCAAAGGAAACTCGTTAATTGTTATTTATCTAGTGCATAAAAAGGAAGAATAAGAAATTTGTTTCTTAATCAAACGTGTCAAATTTCATCTTTAAAGTTTTAATTTCATTTAATTGAAGTTAATAGAGTTTAAACTTGAATTAATAGCTAATCTGAGTATAACTCAACTAGTTAAGGTACTTTAGCTCGATCAAAAGATCATGAGTTCAAATCCCGTCCCACATGTTATATTAAAAAAACTAACTAAATTAATTAGAAAATTAAAACTTTAGGTTAGTTGAATTGCTATTTTAACTAAGTGCAAGAGGTTGAGTAGGAGTATTTTTGTACAAACTAAAAAAAGACGATTTCTTAAATTAAAATATTTCTTAAAGTTGAGGTCTGATTTTACAAAAATATCGATGTCAATGTTGATGAAAATTTTGAAAAATTTTAAAAATCATGAAAATTTATGGAAATTATTTGAATTAGTTAATGAACAGTAATTGTGATTTAATTACCATATAATTGATTATTTGTAACCATCTTACATAAAATTAAAAGCAATATTTATACTGAAATGTCGACATAAAAAAAATAATGTTGGACAAAATGATGGCAAATATGTAAATTTTGATGGAAATTCTTCAAATTAGTTCATTAAAATTCTATTGTAACTTCATTATGTTATAATTGATTTTTATGGGTTAAAATTGATATTTATAGCTATCCTATATTAGTTCCATAAATTAAATATATATATATATATATATAGAAAAAAAAATAAAAAAGGAATAAGCTCATATTATATAGATAAATAAAATAAAATAAAAAACTAAAAAGGAAGACTAAATTGACTGTGTAGATGAGGAGATGGAAAAAGGGAAGACTAATGAACTAAAAAAAATTAAGATGGAAAATTTTGTTATTTTTCCCGTAAATTCTCACTTCTCAAAGTTTGCTTAGCTAGCTCATTATCTTGACAAAGTATCTCTAACATGTTGTTTAAAATTTAATACAATAAATTAGACTTAGGAATTCCAACTTCCGACTTCAAACGAAAGAGTAAGTATCAATTACCGTTGAATTATGCTCATGTTAACATGTTATTATGACTTTATTTTACTTATTGATTTTATTTTAATTCAATTTTGGATGATTTATTTGTTGATTTTTGTGACGTAAAAAATCACAAAAGACTCAAAACTCCGTAGGATGCCCCAATCCTCGGACATGGCAAAATTTTTGGTTTATTTTGGCCTAAACCAACCAAAGCTAACCCATTTACACCTCTAATTAGTTTTTTTGAAGAAAATAAATTTAATTTAACACTTATTCAATTTGATCAACTTAAAACTTTAAAGGAATGTGTTTAATTTACTAATTAGGTTTGCATAACTAGGGACGACTAAGAAAATAATCAACATTTTCATCAACTAGTATCAACAACATGACTAAACTTAATTCAAAATCTTGGGATATAATTAAATTTTGGCTTTTGTACTTTTAACTTCAGTTCATTTTGATTCATGTATTTCCAAATATCCATTTTGGTCATTGTACTTTTAAAACTTTTGTTTATTTTAGTTCATATACTTTCAAATTGTCAATTTTGGTATTTACACTTTGAAAAAATAACCATTTTGATTCCTATTTGGAAAATTTTAACACAAATTTTATACACAATGAAAACCTCTTAATACAAATTTATAGCTATATTTCAATAAATTTAGTGAGTAAAGTGTTAGGCTAAAATTTCGATCGAAATAAATTAAATGAAAGTGAAATGACAAAAATTGTCACTTTTAAAAAGTATATGGGAAACAAACGTTTCAAAAGTACATCAACTAAAATGAATAGAAATGGAAAGTATAATAACTAAACTACAAAAAGTTGAGAGTATGACCAATTAAACCTTAAATTTTTTAAGATCAAGAGACTAATTAACAAACTCATTCTCAATTTTTAGCAAATAAAATATTTATTGGAAAAAGAAAACCTGAAATTCCTCAAAACCAAACCGAAAACCACCTAAATAGTTGATGAAAATCATGTGGCTGTTATTCTCTTTTAAAATTTATTTTTAATAAGATAACAAATTAGATACTAAGATTAGGTTTGAATGTTGTATTTGGAAGCAACACTTGAAATGTGTTTTCTACTTTCAGAAATAAAAACAGTGTTATCTAATGTTGAAAATAAGTTTGGCAGACAAAAAAAAAATGGCAAAAGATGTATTAAACAATATATAATGTTTTAATAATATATTTTAAAGTTAGGTGTAAATAAAAATGTTATAATACTAAATTAATCAATTAGGATTTCCAAGTGTTCCTTAGGTGTACGTGTCGAACGATGTAGTGATTTTAACTCACCGTTAAAGGTACAAGTTGGCTAAATTTATAATGGAGGAATCGCACGTGGAGAAATAAATAGTCCTACTTAACCCACTTCTCATCCCAAATTTTGAATCTTTTTTCTTTGTTCGTCCTCATTGGTTACGATTATTTTGGATATAGTTTAATGATTAAGATATTAGTCACATCTTCTGGAGTTCAAAGGTTTGAATTACCATTCTCACATTTCTAATATCGTATTCTTTTTGTACCAGAAGGATTAATTTAACCTTTAATTGGGCTATTTCGAACCCCAACCTTGTCTTTCAGCTTAATGAACCACACGCCTAACTCCATTATATGGCCTTAACTCCTTCCTTTACTAAATTATTGATCATAAAATCCAATTCGTTTGTTTAGCTGATTTTGTATAAGCATTTTTTGTCAAATTAAACTTTCCAACAATGAGTTTCTTAGCATGGTTTTATAAGTTGGTAAATGGACCTGATTAGACCTACAAATCAAGAATTTTAATTGTAAAACATTTATATAATCATTTCTTACGAGGATGGTCTTTAGCGAATGGTTCATAATCATAGTTGGAGAAAATTCTTCGGAGCTTAAACTTTGGGGTGGGTATGGAAAGACTATTTACGATACTAACCCAATAAGAATGACACATTTCCTCTCCCTATGGTCTAATTTAATTTTTTTTAAATGATGAAGCTACATAAAGATAAAGATAGTACGATAGTATTGTAGTTACATAATCCTCTTGCCAAAAAAAAAAAGTTAAAAGAAAAAAAAACATATCGGGGACACCAACATAGTTCTACATCTATCGAAAGAAGAGAAGATCTATGATACATAAGTAAAATTAGATCTATGCCGGCTTTTTGAGGGGATAAAAATATTAATAGGAAAATACTAAGAATATTATCAAGAGATTACAAGAGTACATTATTCATTTGGGTTGGAGGGATTTTAGTCATACAAATGTTTTATTTCATTTCCTATCTCCCAGTTCTAATTCCCATTGTATTCACTCTAAAAGTACTTTCAAATATACTCTGAGGAAAGAAAATGTAAAAATGGAGAATTGATGAAACTATTTTGAGAAGTAAGACAGTTGATTGAATTAACAATAATATGGTAATTTGATGTTGGTATGAAATTAGATCCCGAAGAAGGTTATAGTTGACGCTCAAACTAAATCCATGAATTCAATTGATAACGAAGAAGAAAGAATTGGAATTGATCAATATATTTCTCTCGAAACAAATGAAAACAAAAGAAAATAAAAGACGAAACATAAATCATGGATCAACTAAGCCCTCTCGGGGACTTGCTAAGAATAAGAAAGAGGAATATCATGTAAATACCATGGAATAAGGTTTGATTCTATTCATGGAAATTACGTAAATATTTCCTTCCAAAAAGAGAAATCCGAAACAATTTTAAATTTAAAAGGCAAAACCCCTCCTTTGTTGACAGCTACTTCTGGAGAAAGAAATGCAATCTAAAGGTTTCTGTTGTTTGAATTTTGGATTTGTCAAAGATTTTTTTGAAATTTTAAGTGTTGTCCAGAACCTTCTCCCTAAAGACAATTTCTAACACAATTCAAAAGCAGTCTTCTTAAAAGATGATTCCTCCAATTCAAATACATTCGACTTTAAAATAGTTTCAATAYTATCTATGGTAGGAAAGATCAAACTCATGCACCCAAGAAATATCTTCCCTTGTTTTACAGCATTATTAGTTTTTAACACTTGCTCATCAATTTTGTTGAAATACCCTCTAAAGCTATGGATTCAAGTCTTACTTTGAAAACTTAAAATTGCAACTCCTTAGYGTGTTCAGGAACTAGCTTTAGAGTGGGCGAAATCTTTGGATTAGTGAGAGTGGACCATGAGCATAATGCAATGAAGGGAGCCCCAATACCCCGATTGATCAAAAATATTTAAGGTTTTTAAATACTATTTTGGTTGAAGATCACTTGAAGAATAAGATTATAATCTCTATCTAGAATATATATGTCCTGGACAACAAAAATCCCCATTAATACTGCTCGAGTGCTATATTCATAGGTTAGTGGTCCGTCCTATCTTAGTAGTTGTACAGAGTATTCCTCAGCATCGTATAGAATAAATTATCTTAAGGAAACAACTATCAGTTGAATTCAGACTAATAGATCTCRTTGTTCTATAATGATTCTCTTCTAACAAATCCTATAACAAAACGGCATTGGCATCTATATTCAAGACAAACTTTCCAATCAAATAATGATTGTGTTGTATAGTAAATAACAAAGAAAAAAAAACTAACCTTCAATGATGGAGAAGCATCTGATAGAAGTTCAAGGTTTCGTCTACTACAGACCAGGAGGCTCTTGGAAGAGTGCCAATTACCAATAATCCCTGCACGAGCAAGCCCCGTCCTTGAAGTGGTGAAACCGGTTGGCATCGCGTAGTACAATCGTTCTCTGTTCAATAGATGATACAAATTTGCAAAATGTATGGCAGTCACCACAAACTCTAAGATTCTTTGTAATCCTTATGGGATTGTCTTGAGGTATAGCTATTAACCCAAATGCAATTGCCAACTTTTCACTATGTGCAAACAGAAGTCCTTGTTTCACTTCCTCATCAACATCATGCAGCACATAATTCGTATCCGGGACATAGCCAGCGAACTCGAGCTTCTCACCCAATCGTTTCAGCTTCTCATAAATCTCACYTGACCTGGGATGTGTTTTATCTCCAACACTGAACTGATATAGTTTTGCATCCACCTCAATCCATGTCCAACCAGGAATCTTCTTTAATCCACCCTTAGTCATCAAATCTCTTGTTTTTGCCATATCCTCCCACTTGCCAGCATTTGCATATATATTTGAAAGCAATACATAATGCCCTGGGTTCTGAGGCTGCATCTCGAGAAGAGACTTCGCCACCCTTTCTGCCAAATCTAGACGCCGATGAATCCGACATGCCCCCAACAATGCTCCCCATAGCCCCTCATCTTTCTCAACTGTCATGCTTTCTATCAATCTCAAGGCCTCCTCAAACCTTCCTGCTCGACCTAAGAGATCAACCATGCAAGTATAATGTTTTACATCTGGTCTCACACCGTACTCGTCTGACATCAAGGAAAAAAATCTGTGGCCCTCTTCAATTAGACCGGCATGACTACAAGCATATAACAATGACACAAAGGTGATCCTATTTGGCAATATCCCGCTGCTTAACATCATCGGGAATAACTCGAGCGCTTCTCTACCTTGCCCGTGATATCCATAGGCTGCAATCATGGCACTCCATGTAATGACATTCTTCACTTGCATCTGATCGAAAATCTCCCTTGCCCATTCAACATCTCCACATTTCGCATACATATCAATCATTGCCGTTCCCAAAATTACATCCAATGAAAACTTAGTTCCATTAATATAGTCATGAACTGCTCTGGCCTTATTCATGGCGCCCAACTTTGCACAAGCATAAACAACTGTTACCAACGCCACTTTATCCGGGACAATACCTTCATCTCTCATCCTATCAAACAAAACCAATGACTCAAAAGCACTACTGCATTCAGCCAAGGCACCAATCATAACCGTCCATGTCACAAGGTCTCTCTTGTGCATTTTATCAAACAATTGGCGGGCGTCATCAATCACTCTACATCTAGAATACATATCAACAAGAGATGCACAAACAAAATGGTCATAATCCAACCCACATTTCAAAGTGGCGCAGTGAATGAGCCTTCCAAATTGCAAGTCCTTCAAATCCCTGCAAGCCCTTATAACAATGGGCAATGTATAGTTATCAAATGGCATCCCACAACGAAAAAGCTCCCTGAACATCCCAAAACAAGAAGAAAAATCCCCAATTTTGGCATACCCACCGATTATAACACTCCAGCTATAAGGGTCTCTCTCAGTCATTTTGTCGAACAGGTCACGTGCATCCTCCAAGGCGCCATGTTGGGTATACGCGAAAAGAAGTTTATTAGCAATCGCGAGGTTCCTGAATATGCCATTGGAAGCAATTCGGGCATGAACTTGCCTGATTTGAAAGAGATTTCTGCAACTCAGGAGCGCAGTTATGTATCGTCTGGGGTCAAATTGGAGAAGGAAAGAAGATTGGGATTCTTGGGTAGAGAAGTTCGGTTCATTTGAGGGGTTATTTACATCGAACAGGGAAGAAGAAAGAGAAGTTTCTTCCGCTGTTGTTGTTTCAGAAACCGAGAAAAATCGAAGCTTTCCATGGTTGACGAAAAATCTCTGGCCTTTGGATCTGAGCATGTGAATTATGGCGGTAATCGGAGAAATTTGAAACCGCTAACGATTTTTTAAAAATGCATCGCGGTCCCGTAAACTAAATTCAAATACACCATGAGAAAGAGCTTTTTTTTTTTTTTTTCCTTTTTTCTTTTGACAAGTATATACCACGAGAGCTGAAATCTGGTTCCACGGGTAAATTGAAATTTTCAATTAAACGGGGATGAAAATATACTTTACTATAATACTAAATTTTTTTTCAAAAAAGACTATATATATTTTAGTTAAATTYAGTCCCTAAATTTGATAACTTCCATTAAATAGTTTTCGGCTCAATTTTACCACAGGGATATACCATGTAAATCAATAAATATATTTTTTATCACTTGAAATTCATCATTTTATTTAGAACGRTTTGATTTACAACTATGTTCGTATTGACTCTTTATTTTAATTTAAGAAAGTATCTACTACRTAGTAGTATGAAAAATTTTCTCCTATCTTTTTTAAAATCTCTCAAATAAGATTGTACTTATTCAAGATAGGAGTACTCTTTCCTTAATTTCTACCGGTTCCTACTTAACTTTAATTTCGTTGTGCTTTTTTTTCCCTCAACTGAGATTGAGAATTCAAAAAAACATCAACTTTAGCTAATTAAATGATCTCTATGATTTAAAAAGAACCTCTTGATTTAGTTTTTTAATCATCTTTCCTTTTACTTTTTATTTGAGTAACAATTWAATTTTTGAATTTTAATTTAATTTTCTACTAGTACTTTCAAACCAATAATAATTTRRTATCTAAAATTTTTTTAGTACACGACAATTTAGTACTTGTAATTTAAAATTTATAATAATTTAATCTAAGTCGTAAAAAATCTCATTGATGACTTTTATTATGTAACAATTTAGCCTGGTAGTTTATAAGCAYATTGTCCTCATCATCTTATCCATCTACSTAATATAAACCTCATTAAATCATAAAATATTTCTTACCATAAAAAATAAATTGTTGCAAATTTTAAACTACAAAAACTAAATAGTTATATACTAAAATTCAAAGACTAAATTGTTATCAATATTTTTAAAGTGAAAAAACTATATTATAATTTAGATACCAAATGTGATTTTCAATCCAAAAAATGAGAATCATTTAAATTTGACTTGTATAAAAAAAACATTTAAAATTGACAAAATCCCAACTCAAGTAGATTTAATCCACAACAATACATTTTAACCCCGATTCAATTGAGAATTTGTCACTTCAAAACACAAATAAAGCACAAAGAGAACATAGAAGTAGGCAAAAAAAACACTATTTTGATCAAAGAATCTTCCCCTAAACTACAACAATCTTGTATTTCTGAAAAATAAAGATTTAAATGGAGGACATTTTGCCTTAATATACATTCATTCATTCATTCCAATAACAGAGCCCCATTTCCTTGGTAAATCTCAAGACGAGATTTATTAATTCTTAACCCTCCACCACACTTTTTTACTGTGTATTTCCTCCTCCCCACCCACCCTCTTCTTCTGCATCATCCAGCCCTGTAGTAAATTTTCTTTCTAGTAGTAACAACAAATAACAGTTTACAGTAGAAATACAGTTACAAATACTCAACTTCCCAGCAGATTTTGATTCTTCTACCATACCACATTGCCGATCAGTTGCGCTCCAAAAGCGGTGCTCGCGGTATAAGTGATGGTTTCAGTTCCTTTCCATTACTCAATGATTCACAAGAATGGTTTTCCCGGAATTCCTCAACAAGAGCTTCCATTGGCATGGCACGGAGCGACTCGATCGTACTCTTGCTCGGAACGTCTGGTTCACATCGTGYTGGGGTGCTACCAGTTGGCTCATAGTCCTAAATACCACATTTGAGAAGATTTTGTTTTAGAGAGATGTATAGTTTCAAGTGCTGAAAGAGCTAAAGAGAGCTTATTGACTAAGCCAAAACTAGCATTAGAAAGCTAGAAGTTCCACAGAACTTGAAGATTCATGACAAAAGAAATCATATTTTCTGTGAATGTTGGATCAGCAAATTTAAGAGAGCCATTGAATTTGTGGAAAATGAGAGGGAAAGAAACTACTACTATTTATTCAGGGCATGTTTAGTTGGTAACCTTCTTTGATTCTTGTTTCTCGTTTTTTGTTTCTTTTTTCCTTTTTTATTGAAAAAAAAAACAGAAACATGTTTAGTAATCCGCTTTTAATAGTAATAACTCACCGAGTACTGCTGCCGAAATGTATCTTTCGCCTTTTCTTCAATGGCAGAAACTTGGCAAGAGTGACCATCCCGGAAAGCCTCAATTGTATCTGTATGAGTTTTGACAGTATCTAATATACCAGAGATAGAACCACGCTCTTGTTCAGAAAAGCCTACCAACCAAAGCATCAACAGACATGGCATGGTTAATATTTTGGAAAATAGAAYTAAATTTGGATTATCAGTCAAAAAATGTCAACTATAAGAAGAATTAGGTAGATACTTGTATCAAGTTTCGGTTTCAATATTATACTTAAAATGATGACYGTGCTTAAAAAATTGGGAATCTAGAGTACTCACCATCAACTTGTTGGAGAGTATCTTCAATGTTCGCCATCATGTCTTGCTCAGCTGCAGATCGCTCAGAAGTGATCTCAGCATCATGTTGCTCATTACTATCACAAGCACCTCTGGTAAAAGAAAAATGAATCATTACATCAATTTTAAAAAAGATTAAAATATGACACAATACGAATACAGTGATACGTCATTTTCTAAAAATTTAGGACACAAATACTGGAAGCACACATTTATTAAAGTATAGAATTTTATTAAGTAAATCAAATTTTTAAACCTCTATGCATTTTTATGTTAAAACAATGAGTTTGATGTACTTTTCTTTCCAAATTTATTATTTTGWCTTGTATTATTGTTTATATATTTTTCTTATGCTTGACAAGTACGTGTTTAACAAGTTTCAGGTCTATATTCACTTTGTACAAATATTGTAATCACATTTATCAAGCTAACGAGTATCTGATATGCGTCCAATAAGTGTCAGAGTGTATCAGCATGTCCAACATGAACACGTTGCCCAAATTAAAGTGCTCGTGCTTTAAAACTTCAAAAGCATGAAAATCAATGTCAAGTAATTAACGAAAGTTGTTGACTCTTACCTCACAACTGAGACCACATCTGAAACATGTTTACTTCCCATGTCATTCAAAGACTCTTGTGTTCTGTTCCACTGCTTGAGAGCCGATTCTGTAGTACTTACACTGCATAAGATTTTGGGAGGGAAACCTATATTAGAACAGGGCAACTATGATCCAACAAAATCATAATGAAGACTAAAAACTTGCCACTGCTGCAGAAGTGCTTCCATCCGACAATGTTTAGCAGCAGAAAAGTCAGCACTGTCTCTTGTCTCATTCTCAGTTTGTGTAGCAAACACCTGCCATTTGCGCTTTGCATCTGTAGCCATACCTTCCATTGAGAAAATATATCCATCCAAAAACGTCTTGTTTACACTGGCAGTTTCTTGAAGACCAGTGAGCCTTGCATCCACCTGTTGCACCAATCATTAAGTGAAAATCTATTTCCCTACTGCAAAATTTCACATCATAAGTTTCTTTTTACATACCAGTTCTTTTTGACGACGAATGTGACAAGACACCAAATTGGTCATATCAGCTATAAGTTTCTCCGCATCAGATCTTGATTGCTCCTGTAAAAGAAAAACAAAACATCAAATAAATTTCTATGTATACCTAAAACCTATTTAGGTAAGGAAATGTATACGGTATACCACACCTCATAAACTTTTTGGAATTCTGCAATGCTTTTCATCTGGATCTCTTCAGCCTCTGCTGCATGATTTCCCAGTCTCTTTGATTCTTCGGTCAGCTTAGTGAGGAATTCTTCAATATATTCAGAAATACTCTTCGTTTGATCAATAGTAACATGGAACCTCTGTTCAATTTGAAATCAACAAAAAAGATATAAGGAGTTTCATATATCAATAAAAATAATAATGAGTAACAAAATATGGCACGCAAAACATTTTTCACACAGATCTTGTGAAGCTGAATATATATGACGACAGACACTATTAAAAAAGACAAAACAGTAACAAAAATGAGTGGTCAACTGTGGAGAGAAGGAAGAACCTGTCGCAATTCCCTTGCAAACAGAGCCATTTCTTTCTGATGAGTTGAAAGGGTACTCTGAAGATTGTCCAGTGTCGTAGATGCTTCACGAGCCTCTGCTGTCAGAAACTAATTTGCGAGAGATATCAACTTCAATGCAAGTTACTTCGCATATTACTTATGATATTAAAAAGATTAAATATAAAGTACAAAAATCATGTATGAGATTATCTGACAATAACAGTAAGAAATAAAATCTTCTACATACTTCTTCAATAGAGCTGGCACTAGAAGAAGCCAAAACGGTAATATCTTCTAAAGTGGCATTTGAGTTGGCTTTGTGCAAGCGAACAACATTTTGCAATGCCTCAATATGGGAGACATATAACGTCCTGGATGAAGACAATTTTTTCTTCATGTCCATAATTGCCTAAAAGACAACAATACCATAATGTCAAAATGACAACTTCAACAAAAACAACAAGCTACTTTATTACCATTCGATCATAATTCACAAGGTTCATACTTCTTTCTAATACCTTTTCATGTTTGCCGAGAAAAGAATGACATATCTTTTCAACACATTGAAGATGTTCATTCTGTCGAGACAAGGACGTCGAAACCATATTGCAAACAGAGCCAATTTGTTGTGCAAGCTCAATTTGATAATTATCAACTACTGCTCGATTCTCTGTATTTAGCTTATCCTCTCTACCTATATTTTATAATATTTCAACATAAGTTAGCCAATTTAAGTTAATAGTAAAGATAGTATAAGTGGTAGATGACATCACTAACTGACCAATTTTCATAAACAATGAAGCATTATCTTGAAGAGCCTTCTCCAGATCCGAGCGAAGAACGCATGCTTGATGAGCCAAAGCATTCTCTGTTTTGCACGTTCAAATTAAAGTTCTATACTCGTAAAGTATCAAAATGCAAAGAAGTAGAGATATATAAGTACCTGCTTTTCTCTGCTCAGAAATAATAAAATCTTTTTCCTTCAAAAAATAATTACATTTCTTCAACTCTTCCTCAGCGTTCATAAGCAACTTTTGCGTTTGACATAGAGTTTTCTGTATTATTCAAGTGACTAATTAGACCAACGTAAAGCAAACGTCAAATTTCACAGCTGATAGGTAAAAAACTCACCTCCGTAGAATCAAGTTTTTTGCTCAAATCCGAGCAATGTGCTGCTTGAATATTATTTTTGTCTTGTAATTCCTCTAATTGCTGTTTAAATAATTGGCCATTAGTAACGAATGCAAGAACAGCAATTGCAATATAAGCTTAAGTAAAATGAGCCACCTTCTGATAAGTTTCAATTGTCACTCCCATTTGCTCAATCTGGTCGGCCATTGCCTAAGAAAGCGAAAAGACACTTGTAAAGGTTTTCATGCTAACAAAAATAAGAAATATTCCAACGAAGCTGAAAAAATCCACTCTCCAAACAGGACAAATAATATACAAATAAATGCAGTTAGTACAAATTCAAAGAACATTCCAACAAAAAAAAACAATTAAAATAAATAATAATATATGATAATAAAGGAGAATAAGAAGAGTCGGCGTGAAGAACACCAAAAGAGATGATAACGAAATGTTAAAAAATAAAAATAGCCCAACCTTTCTCTCACTCTCCTCTTGTTGGTATCGTTCCTTTGGGATATAAACACCATTCTTTTCACGAGCGGCATAAACCTCTGGGAAATAAGGACAGTGTTTCACTCGCTCCGTTAGCAGATAAGGGTAAGATAAAACCCAACTACTTAACTATCGACATCGAAAAGCAAATCCAAGCCATCTCACCTGCCTTCAAACGGTCAATTTCACCATAGAGATCCTTGATAAGGGTAGATTTCATCATTTTTTGATTTACCTAACAAAATAACAGGGAAATGAAAAACGGCACAAGTTTAGAACTTGCAAAARGCCAATCTACACAAACTTAGATCCTTGATAAGGGTAGATTTCATCATTTTATGATTTACCTAACAAAATTACAGGGAAATGAAAAAAGGCATAAGTTTAGGCCAATCAACCCAAACTCTTCAAATTTAATTAACGCACAAAGCTCAAAGCTAAAAGTTTCCAACAAAAATCAAAATGAGAATTTTCAGGGAAAAGCATTTGGCATAATCTTATGATTACAAACACTGAAAAACGAAAAGTAGATCGAACCTCTGGCTTATTCTTAATATTTTTGGCCCTGTGGGCATAATCTAGCGTACTCAATGTTTCTTCAAGACAATGAACAGCTGGAGACACTGTGGCAATTATGCAAGTCTTGGTTCTTCCTCCAAGTGAATCTCTGAGCAACCGTGTGAGCTTGCTATCCCTGAAGTTGGATAGATAGTTATTGAGAATTGTAATGTGGAATGAAAAAGAGATGAAACATCATAAGAGCTCATCAAAGCAGTGCCACTAGCAGCTAACCTATATGGGATATGCCCAAGATGCTCTACTAGAGCATTGATCACTCGCCCCAATGTTAATAAACTTTTATTGATCTCCCCGGCTTCTCTAGCACGACCCTGTATCATCATAACTAAGAATTAAAAACACAACGGACACCATATCTTTAGTTTTACTACAGAGAAAACAATTGAAACTTCTGCTACCTCTCGGGCACCAGAACGAGATATGTTTTCTGATCCAGCCAGATCCACCAAATTCAGCTTGCCACATTTAATCAGTTCTTCACCTTCTGGTGTTGCTTCCTTAATGTGTATTGTTATGGAAAAGAGAGAATGTGACCGACTGAAATACCAAAGAACATGATCATTTTGAAACAATTTAACTTATCTACAGAAACTAGCAAGACAAAGACGATATCAAAGACTGACTTAAAGCTAAGATGATACCTTGATTGCTTATTTAACAATGTTTCTGCAGTGCGACGTTTTGCCGATCCTCGTTCAAGTAAGGTAAAAATTTCACTGGCACTAGTAACAATTTCCTCCTCTAGACCTCTCACAAGAACACCCCCTTTGCCATCCTCCATTAAGGGTAGTTGCTTTTTCTGCTTCTCCTCCAAAGCAACTTTTGTAATCTCCTCTGGAGCAAGTAAATCCGTAATCTCCTCATTGTACAACTCCAAGAAAGTAACCTTCACGCTGTACTCTGCACACTGGCCCTCTAGAGTGTCAAAAATCTGCTTCACGGTTCTAGGTATAACTCCTGCTTCCGGAGGCAACTCTCCATTTGGACCACTCTGCTATATTACAAGATCAAATTAACAGAACTAATCAACCAAATAGGAATCAAGAGCACCAATATCAGGTAGCCCTATAAATTACCTTTGATCTTTTGCATTCCCCTTCCATTGTGTAGGTTTTCCCTGTACCAGTTTGGCCATACGCAAAAATTGTACAATTGAAGCCTTCTAACACTTCATTGACTATGGGAACTACTGCTTGCTCGTAAAGGTCTCTCTGCTTAGCAGAAGGACCGAAAACCTAAGGCAAACCAGCAAACAAGAACCATAAATTGAAATTAAGATTTGCACCACCCCCAAGCTAAATCAAAGAAATGTTCAAAAAGATATGAAAATGATGCATMCAAGGTGCCGAGTTCTCTTTCCTGGCGGATTGAAGGTACAAACAGAATTGAAAAGTAAAATCCCAACACTTTAGAACTGAGTACCTTATCGAAAGTAAAAACCCTATCAAAATGCTTTCCGGCAATATTTTGAGACACCGTCACCTCTCTAGAAAAGTCATTGCAAGTGACGACTTGCGGTGCGTTACTTCTTAGTTCTTCATCGCTAAAAGGCCTGCAAAAAAAGGGGGGGCGAGTCCGACGAGATTAAGACAACATTACGAAAAGAAATTCAACTAAACCATCAGAGGAGGTTGAGAAAAATCCATCGGATACCTGCATCGTAGAAGAACCTGAACATTTACCCCCTTCTCCTTCTCGTGACGACCAGCCATTTTGATCGGCGGCGAGGAATAGAGAATCAATGTAGTGAAGAAATAGCAGAGTTGTGAGTTCGTCACCTACAAAAACTAGATCTGCTCTGATTCTTCGATGTCTCTCTCTAATGGCGTCTTCTCTCTCTCTCTCTCTCTCTCTCTCTCTCTCTCTCCCTCCCTCTGTGACGCTCCGAAATAAGAACAGGCGGGATGGAAGCAAGAATTTGAATTTTGGAAAGCCGCTCTGTGTCTACCGTCTAATAGATCGACGGGATAGACGTTGGGAAACGTTGATCCGACGGTCCAGATCGCGTTCCATCCACCTTGTTTTCATTTGACAGAAATGCCCTGGAGATTTGGGTTTAATGTCCGTTTTGACCCCCAACTTTTCTTGTAATAACAAATTTATGTCCTGGCCTAGAGGCTCTCAAAGCCCATGTTCCGAAACAGATGTTGGGCCGGGTGTGGCCCGATAATGCACGGCCTCTGCCTGGACAAATTTATAAGAATCAATGTAATTAATTTGTTTAATCCTTAAAAGAGAAAATATCAGAAAGGCGTTTTTTTCTTTTTTGTGTAAACCTTTGGATTGATATTTAAAAAATGACATCGAACATTCAAGTTGAGAGATCAATTTTTTCTTTTTTTCCTGTTGAATTATTTTGAAATTATAGACTAAACTAACAATTTTTTATTTTGATTAATTAAATTAATTATAGGTTCTACGGTTAAAATTTTTAAATCAATGGAAGAAATTTTCGTTCCACGTGAAATATTGACTTGGATATAATTCATATGGTTATGGCATTTTGAATTCCTACCTCACGTGTCAAAGTGATACTTACCACTAGTTGACATATATCTTCAACCAAGAGGTTGTGAGTTAAATTATAAAAAAAAAGATCTACGTTTGTCTTTTTTCTATAATTTAAATAATAATTTTGTCACCTCATTTGAAAACATATCTAAATTTTGTACGAAATATCAAAAACAAAAATACAAACTACTTTTTTTCGGTTTTCAAAATTTAACATGGATTTTAAAAATGTTTATACAAACTATACAACAGAACAAATATAAAATAATAATTGTATGGGTGAGAGTAATATTTTTAAACTTAATTTTTAAAAACATAAATAAAAAATGAAATAATTATAAAAGAGGGTGTTAACTAGCCATTTAAATTTAAAGTTAAATTTGATGATTTTTTTCCTTCGTATATATCTCCTCGAAATTAAAAGTTTAGGTTAAAATTAATTGTTTGAATTAAATATATAGGTAGAAATGTCTATTAATTTTTCGTATAACACAAGTCACGTTCACTTATTTCTTGCGATCAAATGTAACATCATAAATACATTTATTAGCTTGTGTAAATATGGGTTGAATAATGTATTAGTTAATTTACATCAACTCTTTAAATTAGAATAGGTTGGAATTTTAATGTATGCATTGTACGAACAACTCATTTATTTACACGTAATTTGTACTTTGTACCTTACGTGGGCAACTCCCTAAAATGCTCTCTCTTTGTTTTATTTTTATAGTTCCTATTTTTCACATATTCGATTTTCGAAGTCAGACTAGACTGTTTAGTTGGAAACTCGAATTTTATTTTTTGTTTTCARATTCATTGAATTAAATTGATTCARTCTGTGATCCAAACAGTAGAATTTCTAAAAACGATTTTTTTATATTTTTAGTGTTTTCAGATTCAGAATTTGAAATTTTTAAGATGCATGATTACATTAAAAATATAAAAACTTTGATAAATATATTACTACATATTATAAACTCATTTTATGTTTGTTAAAATTAAAACAGGTAAAATATAAAGTATTCTAAATTATATAACCTTATAAAATAATAATTCTACAACATTTAAAAAAAAATGTTAATAAATTAATTAGTATAAGTTTAAATTAAACTAAAATTTAGTTTGTAACTGCTACTAGTTTACAAATATATACTAGACAAACAATTTTTTAAATTTAGATTCAATTACCAAATCTGTTATCAAACATATATCTTAAAACACTGAAAACAAATTTTTGTTTTATGATTATCAACTCACCCTAAATTATGAACTTTTATTTTAGATTTGATGGATTCCTGATTTATTTGACATTCAGTTTTTTTTTTAATTAACAAATTTATTAGACTGAAGATTACATTTTGTACCTAATAGCTACAAGGTTTGTGAATTTAAAAAATGTCTAATAAAACTCGGTAGACAAAATTGAATAATAATGAAGTTAAAAGACCTATTAGACACTTTTAAATTTTGTGGACCTATTAGACATTAAAAATTTTGGATCCGTTGCATTTGGTAATTATTTCTTGTTTTTAAAAGAAAAAATGATAAAAAAATCTATTTTTCTTTTATCTTTCTATATAATTTTAGAAACGTTTAAAAATACTAGAAATAAAAAACATAAATAATTGTCCTAAAATAGGAAAGAAAAATAAAAATGTTACGAAACAATAGATAAATTTTTTTATGAAATTCAGAGACATTGCGTGCGCGTGAATGTGTTAATGTTTTCACTAAATTTATGTAAGCTGGTAATTGATATTTTCTAATCTCTACTTTATTGCAAAATTTCCTCTCATCCATTTCCTGCCTTATGCTTCAACAAGAACATGATATACACATGAAGAGCATTGTTCAACCATTGCATTAATAATTTTTAAATTCAATCTCTTGTTAATATAATTAATATAATTATTAAATACTATTTTGATCTATGTATTTTTTATGTTAGTTTATTTTTGTCCTTATATTTTTAAAATATTTTTATCTTTTTACTTTCAATTCTGGTTCACTTCAGTATACGTATTCTCAAAATGTCTGTTTTAATTATTGTACTCTTAAAAGTGATTAATTCCATTCTTTTCTTTTTTTTTTTTAGAATTTCATCATAAAATTTATATACAATGGAAATCATTCAATACAAATTTATGGCTACATCTTAAAAAATTTAGTGGATGAAGTGTCTCGTTAAAACTATGATCGAAAGAAGTGAGATAAAAATAAAAATGAATGACCAAAATCGTAACTTATTAATTAAAATTATCTACCAAAATGAACGTTTTTAAAAATATAGAAATTAAAATAACAAAAGTTAAAAATAGATATTTAAAGTACATAGACAAAAATGAAACCAAAACATAATGTAAATCGACAAAAATAGTATTCAAACTTTAATTTAAAATAATTAATGATGTGTACCTTTTTTAACTATTTTTGTAGCCCAAATGAACTTTTTTCTTATTCCTTTTTATGTTTTCTAGAATTACTTGAAATGAATTTAATGTATATTCACTAACTTTTTTTCTCTTACAACAACCAATAAGCCGAATTTCAAAAGACAATATTACTTCTAACTCCTTCATTTTGACACATACTACTATTTCGATTGAGGGCATTATTGTCATTTGTCAACCATGATAATTGGAGTTGCACTTATTATTGTTATTCTGGAATTAAAAAATTCATATATACACTATTTTTTTCATTCATAATATAACATTACCACAATTGGAAATTTCCCTAGCTCTAAAGAATGCAATTATTTGAACAAAAATAGTCAGAAATGATTTTTTTTCAATAATTATCCTTCTTCTAGGAAGGATTGATTTGTTGTAGTTCCCTTATTCTTATGGAAGTTACTTGAGAAAATTAAAGGATTAATTGAGTTTATTTGAGTATATGTCTCATAATAATAAAATAATTTATATCTTACCAATTAAAGGTAAAAAGGGTAATCGAAAATGACTATTTCATACGTATTTTGGATGATGGGAAAGAGTATTTGGGCATTACTTGTGTAGACATTGAAATTTACCCTTAATATTCGATGGTTTGCTAAACAATTAATGTCACGAGATATTTAACAAACAATACACACGTGCAATGTTATCTAGATATGTTTTGAATAGTACTCAACTTAAAGTTGCCGTGATCATTTTGATAATGTCTATATAAATTCGTGTAAGTTCTTACTCCTCAGCGAAGGAGAATCATTATWAGTAAATAGTTTTGAAATTTTAAGCTTTAAATTTGGAAAGGGAATTCTCCAAACCTATTATTTCCAAACCATGCAATTGAGTATGATTGGGAGAAAAAGTTAAATACTATTTTAGTCTTCACATGTCCAAGTTAGTCTTCACATGTCCAAGTTTTGGTTAGGTAAATTAAGCTTTCTTTATTTTAGTTCCTATATTTTCAAAATCTCCATTTCTATATTTTTATTTTATCTATTTCACTCATAATTCTAGCATAACATTTCACTCACTAAAGTTGTTAAATGTAGTCATAAATTTATATTATAAGGTTCTCGTTGTGTATACACATTTGTGAAAACTTTATAAACAAGGACTAAATTGGTTGCCTTCTAAAAGTATAAAGATAAAAATAGGCATTTTGAAAATACATCGATTAAAATGAACGAAAATTAAAAATATATTTACCAAAATGAATGTTTCGAAAAATTAAGAAGAAATTTTATATTTATTATTTAGTTTTCAGGATAAAAAATCATTTTTCACTCCTGTATCCGACTCATGAGTTAATTGTAACTTTAAAATTTTAATTTCACCAAAAACAACATCAAATTTCAGTCAATTCGTACCTTCAATTAGTCATAGATTCTTTCTTTATTTTCTTTTTTTTTTTTGGAGATTACTATGATCATTTTTGTTATTGGGTGAGATTATTATCATACGTGTTTGTTTTTTATGGTCATGTTTGGAGTATTTTTAGCTAAGTTGTGACATAATTTTATGGTTAAGATTTAGTGTTTTTTGTAGTAGAATTCTTTTGAATCAACGGTTGTTACGGCTACACGATCAGACCATCAACAATTTTTAGAATGATATTATATGAATTAGCTATGCTCCTATCTAAAATTTTGAGGATATATTAAATTAGGGTACCATTTTATTTTTAATTTTCTATCCTCAAAATTTATGCTTTTTTTTTATAATTTAAATAGTAAAATTTTCACCTCGTTCAAAAACATATCTAAATTTTTAACCAATTTTTAAAAACAAAAATATAGACTACTTTTTTTTTCCAAAAATATAGTATACATTTTGAAAATATTTGTAAAAACTATATATAATAAAACAAATGATCGCATATACGCAGGGTAATATTTTTAAACTTCATTTC